GGTGGGGGGGGACTCGTGCTCCCCCAAAGGAGGTGGCGGAGGCGGGGGAGGGGAGGCGGGGGAGGGGAGGCTGGGCTCCCGGAGAAGGAGGCGACCGCTCGCACAAATCCTGCGTCTTCAGAGCAGCCCCGGCGCGCAGGGTGAGTATTTTGTCCGTACCCCCTGCCCGGTGCCCTTCGGGACCCGCGGCGCCGGGGAGCGGGAGGCGCGGCGGGGTCTGTGCCCGGCCCCGGGCGGGGGGCAGTGCGCGCAGGGCCCGGTGCCTCCTGCCGGACCGGCTCAAGGCAGCCCGCCTGAAGCCTCCTTGAGGCGCTGCCTCCCCGGCTGGAGCCGCCGGAGCGGGGGTCACGGAACGGGGCTGCGTGCGAGGGTCCGAGCCCCGCTGCGTCCCCGCTAGCACCCACCCCCGAGCGCGCCAGGGTCTGGCTTCTCCAAAGCGAGCCTCCCCGCGGCTTCCCTCCGCTCCTTAAAAAATGAAATGCCCCAAAGCAGGAGAGTGAGGCGGCCGGGGGGCGGGGAAGGGCTGCTCCGAGGAGCTGGAGGGAGGCGGAGGCAGCGAGAGGCGCCGCGCTCCCCGCGCCGCGGGGCCGGGGCGGCGCGCCTCGGGGCGGAAGGGCAGCGCTGTCACCGCCGCTCGCCCCGCGCCCGCGCGGGAACTTACTTTGTTGGCGGAGTTGCCGCGGGCCGGGGTCCCCCGGGGCCGCCCCCAGGTGCCGGCGGCCCCGCGGAGGGGCCGCCGCTGCCGCCGCGCGTGGCCGCAGCGCGGGCCGAGGGGACGCGCAGGAGCCTCCCTTTGTCGTAGGAGCGGGGCTTGCGGTGACCTCCCAAAGTTTTCTTCCAGGAGGAAGCGGTCCAGTAAGTTTTTTGAAATTCATGCTGATTTTTTTTTTTTTTTTTTTTTTGTGCGGCGCACTAGTGTTTGGTATCCAGCGTGCACCGGGCAGTGGAACGGGAAAAAATACATATCCGGGAGGTTTAGGTAGTGATTTCATGGCTTTTAATGTGCTGCTTTCTTAAGAGCTGCATTTTAGATGTAGTGTTTTCAGACAGCATTTATATACGTAGCTGTATAAGGGTAACATAAAAGATGGGAAGCACGCAGAAGCTGCATGCATTTGAAACATTCCATCCTGTCTGGAAAAAGATCAAGAGTTGAAGATTTTTTCTTTTGCAGCCCATATTCTGACAATGCCAAAATTAAAAAAATTGCTGATGCTCTACAATATTAGTAGACATTTCAACTTAAGTTAATTCTAAACGAATGCAGTTTAAGACAATAGTGTAAAAGAGATTTTTGATATTCCGGATGAATTGATAACTAAGCAAGGTTATAAAACTTTGTGCTTGGCTTCTGATGAGGTAGACTCTGGGTCATTCATGAGAGTATCAGTAGTTAAAATAATAATACAAGACTGCTCCTTAAATGTACATGTCCAAAATTTGSCTACCATAAAAAGACTACCTTTTTTGAGAAGAATAGTTAAGGAGTCATTATACAACAGTAATTTATGTTGTGTTCATACATGATAAACTCTTTCTTGATGCCAGGCACTACAAATCGCCTGGCAGTGTACTATAGAGGTAGGTTTTAAAATTTTTATTTTATGGATTTTAAAAAATTGTTAATTTTAATGGCTATGCCATGTATGATACATATGTACATTGACTGATTTTAATTTTTAGCCATGAAATAATATATTTAAGCAATTTTGGCTCTGCTCTTCATTTTTTTTTCATTGTCTTAGGCTATCTGAGACAGAAGAATCTTAAAATTTGTTTCTTTCTAAACATATGTTATTCCTTCTCGCTCTGTTTCTCTCTCT